TTGGCAAAAATTCCATCGAGGGGAGGGCGTTCCCATATTTTTTCATTTTTTCGTCCGCTGCCCTGGCCGCGGCCAAACCGCATTCTTTACTTGTCAGGTTTACATATCGTTCGGCAAGGGTGCAAGGAACCGTAACATCCCATGCCAAACATCTACCGGCTCTCCAAGGTATTAGTGTGCATCCGTCCGGGCGCCTACCATCATGCGCAGAAATGCCGGATGGTTCCTTGAGAACTGGGATTGAAGCCTTGGAGAAGAGCCGACAAATGTAGTCGTTTAATGCTGAGTGACGTAGTTGACGGCCCCCACCCAGGCGACAAACCAAACCGTGGTGCCCAAACTCGTCCGCCCCAGCGCCACATCGACACATGTATTTATTTTGAATGAACAGGCCAAGTCTGAAGCTAATGGCAAATCTCACAGACTCGTCGTCAAGCCTGGTGCCCACAGAGGTGTTGGGCCACGATCTGGCAACGCTGGACATGGCTAACAAACGAGCGGTGGAAAAGTCGTCGTCGCATGAAGACAACAAATTTTGAAAGATCTTTTTATATTCTTCGTTCAAAATTTGGACGTGGTACGGTCCCCCGGGGCAGACACTGGGGGAAGAATATCGCGGCAACGAAAAAACCGGCGGAGCAGGGAAAACTGCAGGTCGAGAGTGGCAGCGGCAGAAGAATTATAAACAACTGGAGCCAGCTCCAGTATGTATGTATGTATAAACGAAATTTTTTTTTATTTGCTCCTCAAAATTAAAGATAATAAATAAGAGACAGGATGAATGTGATCGAGCCCATAATGGGCTCATCTAGCACAGCCACCTAGACAAATATATTCAGAGTTTTGTGGTTAATATCAAATATTGTTAGTTGTTAGTATGTTAATAACAGATAATAAAACAAAAGGTAGTTAACTAAAAAATAATGTTTCATGGATAATTATAATCGCATTAAAAATATCAACAGAAATTGTTTATAGATAGTGAACATAAATTTCATGAAGTAAATACATTTCTTATATAATTTATTAAATGTTCAGTGATTTTACAAACATCTCTACATTATTAATAAGATTAATAATTTTAATAATTGTTAATTATTAAAAACGATTTAACTTTTTTTTTAAATCAGTAGCCGATTTCGCCTTATATTTAAAACCATTCTTAATAATGTTATTCCAGGTCCTAGGACCCTTACAGATTATATGCGAATGTAAAATGTTAGTTTTTGATTTATTCGATTGCAAATAATTAGACATCCTATGACTGTTAGCATGTTTAAAATAATTAGCAAACGTATTAGGCAATCGATTATTAAGCTGTTTATACACAAAAATCAAAGTACGATAAGTATTCAATTGATTAAAATTAAGATTATTGGTTGTCGTAAATAACTCCTTGGTATGAGACCTCATCGTTGACATGGTGATGGTTCTGACGGCCCTTTTCATCATAAGTTTAACCGGATCCGTGACTGAAGGAGACGTGCCAGCCCAGACAATGTTGCAATAAATCACGTGTGGCATGAAAAGTGAGTGATACAACAAATTCAGACACTTTTTTGTGAGGTAGAATTTCACCTTGTTCATCAGACCAGTTGATTTGGCAAGTTTGTTTGCAACACTATTAACGTGATCACGGAA